GGGCAATGAATGTACAAATGTGCTTTACACAATTGATGTGTGTATGGATTGTGATAAGAGTTGTATGAGCCCCTAAGAAAATGATTAAAAAAAACGAAAACTGTTTACCAATGGTTCAATGTACAATTGATGATCTGTTCTATACACCTTCACATAAGTTACAACAAAAAGTTAACAGTGAGAGAGCGCGAGCAGATTAGGCACTGAGAGAGAAACCAACTACATCTGAGTCCATTCCTACACAGCGTGCCCCAGTAGGGCTGAGTAGAACGCTCCTCAAGGTTTCAGAAGACTGCACATCTTTTTTCTTATCAAAAGTATGTATAAATCTATGTACAAGAGGCAATATTCAAAATATACAGTTCAATGATCTCTGACAATTGTATACATCTGTGAAACCACATTCATCACAAATCTTTACAGGGATAGACTCCATCTTTCCTCCGTGAACTGGTCAGTGGGTTTGAACCACTGACTTTGGTTAGCAACCCAGTGCTTAACACACTGGGCCATGGGGGTTCCTTGACGGAGAGGGAAACGTCACATGGAGATTGCCAAGGTACTGAGCAGCATCAGGGTGAGAGAGACCAAGATGTTCCCCCAGAGTGGACAGATAGCACACCTACAGTCAATGCCCTGAATTCTAACTTTGAGCCACTTGAAGAGTTAGAAAATTAATTTCTGTTCTTTAAAGTAAAGTAGAAATCAGAGGACATTTTAGATTTGGGAGATACAGTGACTAACATTAGACCTACATGAGTCGATAGCAGAATAGTTATCTATTCACAAGATAAGATGTGTGAACTGGAGAAATAAAAAGTGGAAAATATTCAAGAGACACTAAGAGAGGTAAAAAATACCGTGTGGTGGACTAATATGTTTCATTGTCACGATGTTTCTTGGATTAAGAATATATTACCATTTTCCTCCTAATTTTCTTTGCCTGGATTTGCTCTAGGATGTATTTTTTATCAAATAGCTTTTGAATGTGCCTAACTTCAGGACAATACCAAAACAAAACAAAAATCCTTGTCCTATGAAGAGAAGCAAAAAATAAATTAAAAAAATTTTTTTAAAAAAGAGGAGAAGCAAGACTTGTGAGTCCCCTGCCTGTAGGAGAGTACCTGCTCGTTTTCAGTGTTGATCACCATAAGATGAGCTCCCAGTGCAGAGCAGTGCCTCTCACTCGCAGTCCAAGTTTTCAACTCAGTAGAAAGAAAGTAGCAGCTGGACTGAAACAGACTCCAGAAGTTTGGACAGCAGTACAGTCTTCCAGGGGTGTGCAGCAATAATGACAAAAAGAAGTAAGGGTAAATGGCCCACGTAGAAAGCTATAAGTCTCACTAAGCTGTGATTAGGTTCCATTAATGATCCTCAATGTTTTTTCAAAGCTGAGTTCATTTACTGGTGCATTCAATAATCCTTAAACAAACATTTCTTGTAAAGGGTCAGAAAATAAACATTTTAGAATTTGTGGGCCACACAAGCCCAGTCACAACTGCTCAACTCTGTTATTGTAGCATACAAACACATAAATGAATGAACATGACTGTGTTCCAATAAAACTTTATTTACAAAACAGGCACCAGATTGGATCTGGCCCACAAGTGTTAGGTTTGCAACTCCTACTTTAAAGCCACAGAATTATTTTTCAGGCCAATACTTTTAACTCCGCATTGCTGTGATTCATTGGGAACACATATCTCCTAACAAAAATAATCTTGATGATTTCCTATTTATTATTTATAGTCTCTTATTAATTCTAGATACCATATTCTTTAGAGTTTAGCACCCCATCACAAGAATAAGCTTTGGAAGATAGTAGACATGACTGAAAACCTTTTGGGGAGAGTTCTAGAGCTCTGAGGGTTATTTAATTTTTTTATAGGTATATACATAGATATGTTTTTCTTCTAGAATTTTGAGATATTGAGATGACAAAATTTTTGGAAAGTAGGTGCTGAAAAATATTAGTTCTCTCCTTTAAAATGCCAGTTTTGTCACTGGTTTTTGTTTGTTTTTCCAAAGCCATTGTATTGGGAACTAATACAGATATCATATTGTTCCATATTGTCACTGTTTTTGCATAGGTTACATACATTCTTCCTACCAAATTAATGAATATGTAGACCATGTCAAATTATAAGCAACATAGATTTTGGAATGACTTGGCATGTGTTATGTTGATTCCATCAATGCTATGTTTATATAAAAGCAAAAAAAAATTATTGAGAGTTCAAAAACAGTTCGAATTAGGGACATCTGATCTTACACAGTGAAATCTATTGCTCCAACATGGTGGAGTGACAGGCATATTTATGCCAGGCATAAAAGTTCAACATTCTGATTGGAAGTTGCAAGATCAAAGAATCAGAAGGCAGGACAACTCAAAGCAAGTTATTGGTTGGAAACACAACGGTGAGCTACTTGGATCAGTTAGTTTAAAGACAGGACTAAGAGAAGATTCACAGAGTGCTCACAAGATAAATATCTTAAAACATTTCTTGAGGACTGCTGGGGGAATTTCTGATACAAGTGTTATGTTAAAACCTTCCCTCAGGAAGATTCTTTCACAGGATTCATTTAAGGACAGTGAAGAAATCTTTCTTTGTTATGCCTATCTAGGGGCTTGACAGCTAGAGAGGAAATTTTTTGTTAGGTGCTTCATTCTGCCTCAGAATTTGACCACTGCAAGAGAAATAAGCAAAAGCTTGAAGGAAGTCAGGGCACAGACCGAGGCTGGTCATTCTGATTATGGTTCAGTGACTCAAACTGGAACGCTCATGATTCATAGTCCTTATTTGAAGACACAATCTTAGGCAGAAGCATTTTATACCCAACAAATGTGCCCTTTCAAATTCTTTTAATAAACTATTTCACTAAATTTGTGTTTGTTTTTGTCTTGGGAGCTGCACTACAATTAATGATTGACGCATCTGATCTAGGATTTTACAACTTACTTTCTGAATGTTTGGACACAGATTGTGGTAACAATTGCACAACTCTACTTGACATGATTGAAATATGGAATGATATGATGCATGTATTTAATCCTAATGAATTGAAAAAAAGAAAGAAAGAAAAGAAAAAGAAATTAGCTTTCTTAATACTCCCAAACTTGTTTGGTGACATTTGATCAAACTATCTGAAGAGATTGTCTATGAATACTGCTTTAAAAAAAATACAGTAGGAAAAACGTGGGGTTTTTAAAGAATTTTTATGTAATATTTCTATAAAGAATGACTTACCATCTTTTAAAGAAAGTTATTAATTACAAACTATCACTTTCATCATGATGATCTCTGTTGCTGCATAAATTAACTCCATATTCTTGCTAGATGCTCATATGCTCTATAAACTTGATGGCTCTCTCTAAACCTTGCCGTTTGGCTAACTCCAGTAAGAGCAGAGTGAGTTTTTTCATTCCTAATAAAGCAGAAGTCTGACACTCAGTGTGTCTATATTCCTAATGAGGAATCCGGTACAGCTGTTCTTCTTTGGTCTTCTATGAGAGGCTGTGAGCTGTTCTTACTCCTGGACATGGCGAGTTAACTCTCCCTTATGAGACAGCCAGGCTATATTTGGAGCCTCGTGTTGTCTTTTCTTATTTCACAATTCCATTTTACCTTTAATACAGCTGATCATTTTATTCGGAACTGAATCTTAGACGTGTTTATCTTGCAATTAACCCAGGACTATATGAGAAGAGCATTATTTTCTGTTAAGCATAGTGATGAACTGGGTGAGGGGAGAGGATGGAAGTAAAGAAGAACTGTTAAGGATGATCTCGGAATTTAAGCTTGAGCAGTTGAGGAAAGGGGCCTAGGCTAGGAAAGCCTAGAGGAGAAACAGTTTGAGGATAAAATCCAATGGCTGGTTTGTTACTTTAATATTTAGTTGTTTATTTAAAGGAACCATGTAAATAGTTTACGACAGCTATAGGTTCAAACAGCCTGGAGTCCCAACATTTCAGTGCCCAAGATATAAAATATCAGACTAGCAATTAGGACAGGGAGTCACATTACTCACTGTGTACCTTGTAGCTCCTCCCCTTCGTGGACATAATGTACATGGGAACTATGGTTCTGGGGCTCTTGTTGTTCAGACAGCTTCTTGACCATTTTGTAATTATCATGAACCACTAGAAAAGAGGAAGACGGATGCGTTTTCATTATTCTTAGTGATCTATCCTGGGCGACCGAGCATTCTGTTCTAAGAGAATCTACACCAGCTGTCTTTCTCTCCCACCCCACTTTAACCCAGCCCCTGCCGTGCTTTTCCGTGTGTGTGGATAAAGCAAAGCCAGCCTCACTGCCATCAAGTCAATTCGGACTCAAAGCAACTCTATAGGATAGGGAAACCTTTTGGAAAATATATAGCTATATAGATATGGTTCACCTTGAATTCTTGCTTTCATCTATCTTATTTTTTTATAAATTCATATATATATCTTCCGCTATCATATTAGAATGTAAAGAGCATATTCCAGGGAAGGAGCTCCTATTCACACTGTGCTCAGCACCTAGAAAAGCACGCGGTGATAAACCGTTTCTAAAGAAGAAAGAAAAGCACGTGGTGAGGATCCAATAAATATTTTGTAGCTCACTTCCTAACAGCTTCTTCTTAACTCAACTAATCCTAAATGATCACGGATCTTTTGATATTTCTGGAATTCTCTGACCCCTGGTGACTGTAACTAAATACATAGGGTAAAATGAGACTTAACCCTCTGTGGACTGTGGTGAAGCGCACGTGTTTAATCTGGCTCTTCTATCCATGGTCTGTAACTCCCACCAAATGATCGGGTGGGACTATGGAAATGGGTGTATGTAATACTAATAGAAGGAATTGCTCAGTTTTGTTTTCCACTCCTCAGACTATGACAATGAACCATCTCAGAAGCAGGACCGTGAAAATCCCAAAGCTATCACAGTAGAAAAGCCATGAGGTGATGGCACAGGACTATGGGACAGAGCAAAGGCACCTCTCCTAGATCAGAGGCTGAGACAGACCATGAGACAAGACTGTGTATATTCCCAGTGAAGGCTGCCGTTTTATGTCAGGGAAAAAGGAAATACCTTTTCAAAGAATCTTTTTTAAATGTGACCAAGAAAAGGAACAAGAAAGAGACCGTTGCATTTCAACCAAAAACTTACCCCAACAGCTCCCAATGAAACAGCCACTGAGGACTGAGAGACAAACCGCAGCAGTAGACCAGACCTTCACCTGGTACCGCCAGACTTCTTCCTCTCTCGGCTCTGCAAGACAAATGCATACAGTTGAAATCCCCATAGACAGGGCCCATGGAAAATGATCATACAAGTCCTCTTTGGAGTGCTGAGAAGCAAGGATGTCGTTTTGGAGTGTTGACAGGCAAGGATGCCACTCAGGGTGCTCCTGACCCAAGTCATGGTGTTTCAGTGGTCTCATGGCCATGTGAACGTTAGGGATTGAATAAGGAAGATGTAAGAAAAACCAATAGATTTGAATTATGTTGTTGGTGATGAATATGAAAAGTAAGCTGGACTGCCAGCAGAATAAACAAATCTTACATCATGGAAGAAGTACAGCCAGAATGCTCCTTGAAAGCAAGGAGGGAGAGGCTTCATCTCACATGTTTTAGACATGTTGTCAAGAGAGACCAGTCCCTGAGGAAGGACATCATGCTTGGTCAAGTCGAGGGGCAGCAAAAAAGACAAAGACCTTCGATAAGCTGGATTGACACAGCACCTACAGCTGTGGGCTCCGGCATGGGAACAATTGTGAGGACGTCCCAGGACTGAGCAATGTTCCATTTTGTTGTGCACAGGCTCCGATGAGTCGGAACCACTTTGATGGCACCTAACCATAACAAGGAGTTGAGGACTATATGGAGGTCAAGCTATGAGCAAACTGTACAAAATAAAAATAAATAAAAATTCTGTGGCAAGAAGAGGCCACAGAAATTCCCTCTGAACAGATGACCAGCTAATAACCTGCAGCCCATGACAAATTCAGACAAAACTCATCCAGCGTAAACTGTACTTTCCGTTTGCCTCCTCTTTCTCCTTCAATCTCATCCCCTCCCAGTGATTCCCTGCCTTTCTCCAATATCTTTTTGCTTCAATTTTTCACCTTTCTATATTTCAATGATGGCTAGCCTGAATAGTTCAGTTTTTCCTTTCTTCTTCTTTCCCTGATCTTGATCCCGCACTGATTTCAGTGCTGACATTGTTATGATTTATCCATTCTCACTCTAAGGGCTGCCAGCTCCTCCCAAAGCCATTCCATCGCCTCGGTGTCTGTTTTCTCATCTCATTGCACTCCCACCACCTTTTCTAGAACCAACTAGACGAAAAGGGCTCACCTTGACCTTGAGGTTGTCCTCGCGCCATTGTGTGTGCACACACCCTGTTGGCTTCCTGTGACCTAGAGATCCCAGCGCTGTTATGTCACAATCTCTGAAGATGTGATTTGGGGGAGCTGGCTTCATCCGAAGAGATCAAGTACTTTGAGCCTCTTGACAAAGCTGAGGGGCGGGTCCCGAAAGGCTCTGCTGTGGGCTCACGCTTATGGTTTGAAATACAGGTTGTCTTCAGCAAAAAGGAATATGGAGAGGAAACGGAAACTCTGTGCGAGCAGTTCTTTTTTATTGAGTTTCTTTTCTCTCTCTTTTCCTGTGGTGAAAGTAGTCACACTGAAACACCTGCCAACCCAGCTTCCACATTTTCAAGCAAAGTTACTTATTATATTGTTCAGGTTGTAGCAGTATTATGACCATTATTTTCCAGAATAACTCATCTCCATGATCATAAATACAATATGCTACCCTATCCCGCATCTGTGGTAACCATTAATAATCTTTGGCTTCTACACCTTTGCTTTTTTGTGTAAGTGAGATTGTGCCGTATTTGTCCTTTGATAGTTGATTCATTTCACTGTGCATGTTTTAAAGGCTCATCCATGTTGCAATATGCATCAGGATTTCATTCCTTTGTGAGTAAGTCATATTCCCTTGCACGTAAATGCCACCTTTTCTTTATCCGTTCATCTGATCAACTGATCGACACTTCAGTTTTTCCCATGATTTGGCTATTGTGAAAAGTGCTGCAGGAACATCCGGGTACATAGTTCCTTTTATGTTTCTGCCTCCCCTTCTGAGTGTAGGATTGCCGGGTCTTTTTGTCACTCTATGTTCGATATCTTGAAGAATGACTAACTGTTTTGCACAGTTGCCACAACCTCCTCCAATGTTGGTTATTGTGTTAGTCTTAGTACATTAGAGAAACAAATCCACAGAAACTCATATGTATAAGAGATAGTTTTATATAAAGGGTAAGTGCACATCAAGAAAACATCCCAACACAGTGCTGTCTAAGCCCACAAGTGCAACATTAACCTATATGTCTGACACCAATCCACAAAGTCCTCCTCCATCTCACAAAACATACACAATGATGCCGACTGCAGGGGGAAAGCCGTGTCAGTGAGTGTGTAAGTATCCCAGCACTGGCAGGGGTCTCCACACGGCTGCTCTAGCACCCCGGGCTGCATCGGGGTAGGTCCATGTGGCTTCGCTTTGGGGATGTCTTGCAGGAAGTGAGCCTTGCCAGCTGAAGCAGGGAACTAGCTAAGGCAGCTGCACCCTGGCCTGACCGTCAGAAAGCAAGAGACCTGCGAACTAGAAAGGCGAGGATTACTGAGCCATTTATCTCTCTGCCCTTCAATTAACCCCACATGTGCTTATTAGCCAGGTTGGCACAATAAACTAACTATATCAGTTATTTTCTGCCTGTTTTTTTTTCCACTTCAAACATTATTTTAATTTCTAGTCTTGTGAGGCATTAGGGGATAAAAAATCCTGCCTTCATGGAACTTACAATCTAGCAATCTCAAGAATGACAGAAGAAAAAAATACTTTGTTTTCCTTTGCTGCTTCTTACACGTTTGCAAGTTGATTGGATCTATAGGACTGTTTCTGGTGAGACATCAGCTTCCATCGTTAATAGGAAGAGTCGTCTACCTTCACACGTTAAAGGAGATGGAGAAAGTAAGTCATCTTTAGATCTAGTATTTATAGCATGCACAAGGGTTTCAAACTGGAAAAGAGATTCTGATCTATTTTCAGTCTCTTGAAAGTTCATTTCTCTGTCCTCAGATAAATGCGGCATCTATCTAAGCATCATATTGAACTACATAATCTATCACTAACTTTATTCTCATTTATTCTGAGAATGTCCAAATCCAAGTCCACTTGATTTGGTTGGGGGGTAGAGGGTTGGGGGACTTACAGTGGATGTTATGCAGATTTTCATGTGCTGCTTCTGTTCTGGTGTCCAGGCAGCTGAAAAACCAAGCCTTTCTTTCTCCATGGACGCCATGGTCAAACAGCCCACCCAAATCAAAAAAGCACTTTCTGGGTTTTTTTGGTTGTTATTTTTATCATGCCATTTTGATGGACTGAGTCAAGGTGAACTCTCATAAGAACCCTGGTGTATAGTGGATTAAGCATTGGACTGCTAACCACAAGGTTTATGGTTCAAACCCAATGCAATTTTATATGCAGGAAGTCCCTCAGTTAAGAACATCTGACTTATGTACACCCCCTACTTGCCTTTTATTTATTTAAATAAGGAAAGACAAAATTTTATTAGGCATATTAGGTGAAAAGAAAGTTGGGCAAGGGCTGACATGCCATCCAAGCTTTGTCTGATCAAGGTTCTCCTACTTGCCCTTTAGTGTTAAAGAAATGTGCCCTCACTTTGAACGGGTGATCCCATCCTGTATGTGTGAGGTCCAGCAAGGTGACTTGACTCAGACACAGGCCAATCGTTAGCAAAGAGACATTTATTTAGTGCCTGGGGGCCTGCAGGTTGAGACAGTGCTCTTATGTACTGTGTAGAAATGAGGAATGGGTTTGGCCCCTCTGGGGTGGAAAATACAGGCTGAGGTTTTCTTGATTGAGAGGCATCATAAACACTCCAGGTAGTCATTTCAGAAGTCATCGTCTGTGGTTCGCTGATTCCTTTGAGGCAGTCACTGCCCTTGGCTCCCTGGTTTCTGACAAAGGCACCTTCTTCCCCTTTTGTGCAGAACTTTTTACGGGCCTTACGGAAGAACTTTGTAGGGTTGGCTAGGGAGGCAAACCTGGAGGAACTTTGGTTCTTAGCAGATTGGATTACACCTTACCATTTCAAAGGAATTCTTCATCACAATCACCTTCACCTGTGACACATGCACTTCTTAAAGGACTAAAAAGACTTCAAACCTTTTCTTGTGCTACAGTGAGACAAGGAACTGCCATGGAGTCCCATGGCCACCTGACAGGGCAGAGTAGTACTTCTCTCTAGAGTTGCTGAGGCTATAAATCTTTTTTTCTTTTTTTTTTGAGGCTATAAATCTTAACATACACGGACAGGCATATCTTTTCCCAGCAGAGTTGCTGGTGAGTTTGAACTGCTGACCTTGTGTTTAGCAACCCAACACATATGGAACCCACTACACTACCTGGATGATTATTTAGTAAGACTAAAAACACACCGAAGAACAGATCTTGTGTGTAACTCGAGAAGTACCTGTACTTAGGAAACAGATATCTATATCTATTTTCATATTGTTTAAATAACCTTCTGCTTCACGTCTTATTTGATACTTCTTCTATGCCTCTTGCTGCTGCTATTAGCAGCAGAGATGTTGTTGTCTTTGAGACTGTGATGTACTTCCCAGAAATGCTTTCTAAGAAAATTCAACAGAGAAGTAATGCTAGAGAGGTGGGATGCATGAGATTGGTTGCTGCCGCCTGTGAATCAAAGCATAAACTGTCCTACTGTAAGCTTTCTATTTGCAAGAAGTTCACATTAAAAGAGTAATAGTATAGTATATTACATACATAAGCCAGCGACACAAGTATTTATTATAAATATCAAGATATATATATATATATATATATATTATAAATTATATATGTACTGTTTTATGGGAGAAACAAGATCTCAAGTTCAAGTAAAATGTACAGAGAGACATTTATTAAGTCTTAAACAGGACCAAAAGAAGACAAAGACAAATTATCCAGATGAGGGCCATCATCAACACAAGATTATAATGGTGTCTAAAGGACTCCCAGCCCTTTGGGAGTCCTTAAATTATAAAGTATGGGGGAGGCGGTGAGAATCATCCCCAAATCATGAGTGGCCACAGATCAATCCATCATAGCGCAGGTAGGATTACAGAAGCAAGAAAGGAATAATGCTTGGGATATGTATATTATTATCGATGACAAAAGTTGACAGGGCAGAATTGGTTGGTGCCTGGGTCTACAACCCCTTGGTCAGGGTATGATTCAAACCATTTGACCCAGAGTACCCCACCCCAGCAAGCTCCTGAGGGCAAGGTTGGCACTCCCTGGGCAGGTCAGGGGAGTAGCAGAAAGTTTCTTTCAAAGGCAGTCTGTCTGAAGGCAAAGCCTTCTAAATGTCAGCAACAGATACTCAATGGAGGTTTAATTTATGTACTCAAAATGTATTTGAGGCTCCCGCTGGAAAGTGTAGCCTTCCAAAAACAAGTGCTTAGAACTTAAATTCTAATACAGCACACATATTCCACCTGAAATTTCATACCTGTAGTTCCTTCTGGGGTAGTTACATAATCTCCTGTCAGCTTGCAAAGGGGTGGAGTCTAGCCTGTCCATCAGTTTATAGCTTGATGACCTCATTTGGTGGCTCAAAGGAGATAAATAATTCACTGGAAGGCAGAGACACTCTCTGCTTTGTCTTCCTGCTGACAAGCCACATGGAGCCACACTGATGCAGTCAAAGCCCTGGAACTAGAGGAGCTGTGGAAACCCATGCCAACACTGCGATGTTTCCATCACCACTGGATCCACAAGACTTTCCACCCACTGGCCTGTGATCTTCCTGCATTCAGCATCATTGCATGGCTGTGTGAGTCTAAAGAGGAATTCATGGATTAGTTTTGACATATGGGGTAATATCGGATTTATGGACTTGATCTGGAATTTACGGATTAGTATCAACATATGGGGTAGTATTGGAATTATGGACTTGATCTGGACAAATCTCTTTCTTATACACATATCAGTCTCCCTGGATTTGTTTCTCTAGTCTACCTGGACTAACACAGCTTCCTTAGCATAACATCTGATTCCTAGGGGGAATCTTAAAACGTTGTTCATATATATCGATTGTTAAACAATGTTCCTATTGTCTTTAATCTCCTTTTACTGGAAATACTTTTAAACTTGGAAGGTAGAGTCAGCAGATATTGAGAGCACTATATACTAAGTTCACTTCACAAGTAATACTCCAAGGAGGGTAAAGGGTAAGAAGATTTGGCCTCCCAGGGTTTGGTAAGGTCTGAAGACATACCTCTTCCCAGGATGTCTCTGAAATGTATTTGTCTATGCGAGCATCATTTGCAGATTTTATAACATTTTTAAAGGTTGGAGGAAAAGGAAACTGTCAACTAACTGTATTTTTATTCCTTCTTCTTTTGATATTTTTCAAAAATTGTAGAGTATATTTATAGAAAGAGAAATGCAGACTTTATGCTAAAAGCTTTTGATTACATAGTAACAGATTTAAGTGCTGCAGCTCCTGGGGTACCTTCCTAAAAGGACTAGGGTATTTGCTCCTGATTATATAATATTATATATTATATAAGCACGATAGAAAAAAAGAAGAGAGATCTGACCACCTGCTTCTGCAAGATCACAACTGTAAACCTTGTCGTCCCTTTCTACTCTGAAATGCACACGTCTCTGGGAGTCAGGAGTATTAGGTTCGCTGCAAGGATAAACTGAGGCCAGGCCAGAGAAGGAAAAGGAGATGTTTATTCTGCACTTCCGGACAAGATTCACGGGCTCCAGCAAGGAGTTAGTGAAGTCATGCTGCCTGGGAAGGAGGAGGAGCAGAGAGGGAAAGAGAAAGAGAGAGAGAGAAATGAGAACCCTGAACTCCCAGGTGAGCTCCACAGGGCCCCCAGTGGGGGACCTGAGAAGTCATGCTAATCAGTGGTGGAGAGTGAGTTTTTAAGCTGCAGAAGAGCAAACAAAGAAGGGGTAGGAGTTGCAGCTGCAGAGGCTTTTCTCAGTCCATAAAATTCCGAGGTAGGGTGGTGCCTTGATCATTCTGCCTGAGACCAAGGAGATGGCTCATTGTTCTGGGGCCCTTTGAAGTTAGCCTTCTTTGTTTCCATAAGGGCAGGCAGGCTTTTCCTAATGTCCCCAGACTGGAACCTGACCCAACATTCTAGCCTTTTTGATGACATACGGGGCGATGTTAGTCTGTCTAGCTGCTTCCTGCTGTACATGGGCAGTGAAGGATTAAAGGCCAGAGTGTGTGGGGTCAGGTTCAGTAGGAAGGGGACTGTAAGGGTATAAAAGAAGCTGGCTGACAGTTAACTTGGTCATGTCCCTTATCCTCTTCTGAAGAAATATGAAAAAGCAAGGGGCTATTAGTAACACAAAACATATAACTGCCACCTTTTTAAGCCATTTAATTTTCAAACCCAAGCCTTAGTAGCAGCCCTGCTGCCAGTGGACCCTCCCATGGCCACAAAGGGGCAGCGTGGGGCGGGGGTGCATGGGAACAATGACCACCACCTTGTGCTTGCTGCAAGTGTGGAGATGAAGTGACTTGGGTTTGAAAATTTACCTTCTGCATGAACCGTGCATCATGGGCTGACTCTGCCTGCTCCTCTTGGCTGTTAAAAACCTTGAATACCATGTTCACTAAATCTCGGGCTGGGGTTTGAGAGCCATCTTCAGCCTTTTAAAACTTTTTTCTAATGTCTGGGGCTGACTGCGTAATAAAATGGGTAGCGAGGACCATAGGCCCAGCCAGGGAAACTGGGTCCAAGTGGGTGTATTGGGTTAGAGCATCAGTTAAATGGCTTAAAAAGGAGGCTGGATTCTCGTCAGGCTTCTGGGTGATCTCCCGAAGTCTATTAAAATTGATCGCCTTATGGGAAATGGCCTGGAGCCCAGCCAGGACACACTGAAGCATTTTATCGCAGTGGGAACTCTGTCCCTGCCTGCTTGAGTGTCAATTCGATAACCCCAAGCAGGTTCTCATCTGGGAATGGTCTCCGTGCCAACAGACATGTTGGGGATGATCAAAAGAACCCGGTCAGTGTGCTGCTGAGCAGCTAGAAAAAACGCATTCCCTTTCATCTGCGGTTAAGATAGAGGAAAGGATGACAAAAATACCATGCCAGTATAAGATACAATAATAATTTATAAATTATCAAGGGTGCATGGGGGAGAGGGGAGGAGGAAGGGAGGGGGAGGGGAAAAAAGGAAAATGAGCTGATTCCGGGAACCCAAGAGGAAAGCGAATTTTGGGAATAATGAGGGCAACAAATGTATAGATGTCCTTTACACAATTGATCTATGTATTGTGATGAATTGTATGAGCCCCAATAAATTGATAAAAAAAAATCATGCCAGGACAAATCATAAGCTTGAGTTAAATATTGAAACTCCTTAATATAGGTGGTGGGATCATTGGAAAAGGAGCCTAAGCAATTTTCAATTTGAGATAAGTCCCTGAGAGCAAAGGAGCCATGAACCTGGACCACTCCCCTTCAGCCCTGGCCACTTCCCAGAGAGGACAAAGTTGAGGAGGACTTTGTGACCACATGTGCTTGCTAACCCGCGAAGTGAATGAAGACTCAGGTTGGCTGGCCAGGCAGGTGGGTCAGGAGAAGAGGTCGCAGGGGACCCAAGTGGCCGGAATGATTTAAACAAAAAAAGAAGAAGCTGGTTGACAGTTACGTTGGTGAGGAGAGGTGCTCAGGCAGGTCTGAAAAAGTAGACACAGGAGGGCGGGCAGAAGCCGGAGGAGAGGAGGAATTTTCTCTAGCCAAGAGGACTTGGGAAGGGGAACAGGAAATACAGAGAAAGGGGCAGGAGCACAGAAAAGAGAAGGTCTGGACATACAGAACCTCAGACCATTTCTAGGTCCTTTGGCAGAAGTTACTTAGATCAATTAAAATATTGAAATCAAAAGTCCCTTTTTTAGGCCACTTAGACCCATAATCCAAATTGTACGGGGGCCACTTGACCGTGGAAAAAAAGATGAGGCACTTTGGATGAATGTCCAGCACTAGTCCCATTTTAGTGAGGTTGGCTACGAGGCACCCTAGCGGTGTCTGGGGGTCAATTTTAGAATTTTAATTACCCATGGATAATTTCCAGACACCAACAGTCAAGGCTAAAGGACCAGCATCCCAATGTTTACCCTTGGCTACAGATGGAATAAGGAGGATGGGAGGGTTGACAGAGATGTCTCCACTGCCACCCTGGGGTTGGATGGGAAAACGGAGGGTGATCTCTGACATGGCCACACTTTTACGAACAGAGAGGCCAGCGGGGGTCACCAGAACTAGACACAGGTTGGGACTTACTGTCTGTGCTGCCGGACAGGAGCATGGAAGAGGAGCCCTGGGGGGAGCAGGGCAGGAGGGCTCCCGAAACTGCACTGGGCAGTTAAGAGGGGGCTCATTCCTCTTGGGTTTCCAGCACCAAATATTAGGTTCACTGCAAGGATAAATTGAGGCCAGGCAAGAGAGAAGGGAAAGGAGAAATTTATTCTGTGCTTCCCTGAAAGATTCATGGGCTCCAGCAAGAAGTCAGTGAAGTTCTGCTGCCCAGGAGGGAGGGGGGAGCAGAGAGGGACAGAGATGGGAGCCCTGAACTCCTGGACGAGTTCCACAGGCCCCCAGCGGAGGACCCAAGAAGTCTATATGTGGTGGAGAGCAAGTTTTTAAGCTGGTCAGGAGGGTAAAGAAGAAGGGAGGGGCTAGAAGCTGCAGGTGGGCAAACAAGAAGGGAGGGGGTAGGAGTTACAGCTGTAGGGGCTATAAGCCGTCTCCATCCAAAAAATTCCAAGTTAGGGTGGTGCTTGATTGTTCTGACTGATACCAAGGAGATGGCTCATTGTTCTGGGGCCCTTTGAAGCTAGCCTTCTTGTTCCGAAAAGGGCACGCAAGCTTTTCCTAATGTCCCCCAACCAGTACCTGACCCAAAAAGAAGCAGACTAGATGGCGACTGAACAAATAGGAACACAAGGGAACTTCCTCAATCTCATCAAAAGGAACTCTGTAAAGGTGAAGATCTACAAGTTGATGCTTGGACAGACTTGGATTTAATAGGTCAGAGAAGGATAAAGGGAGTATACCCATAAATAAAGATATAGATTTGATAAAGGATCTTTGCATATGTGTATTTACTTTTGCTGCGAATATATGTATGAATGCAGTAGCACACACAGGGGACAAGTTATGAAAGCTGAGACATGCATTAGAGTTTTATCCTGAGCATTCAGTTGCAGAAGACTATGGATGCCAATAAAAGGGAGGTGAATAATCTTTGCCCTGTCTCCTTGAGGGGCTTGCCTTCGTGTGTCCTCATTGTGGATCACCGGAGGGGAAAGGGGTTGCATAGTCTTGTGTCTTGCCTCATCAGTCGTGCCCTGATTGGAAGGCCCCAGAGCAATCCTGAAAACTCGTCTTGGTCGCCTTCCCGATCCTGCAATCCCGGCTGTAACTGTGATGTATTAATCTCCTGCCAATCATTAATTTGTAATAGTTTCCTTTGTGTTCCGTTCCTTACTGAAGTAGCTGCTGACTGAATTCTTGGGCACCATTATGAGCGGGTGCTGGTGGTCTCCTTCACCCAGATAACATGTCCTTGTCTTTTTCCAGCGTAAGACTTAATAAATGGTTGAGGTTTATGCTGATGGGGCTTTTTCTGTAGACCCACATTGTTGGAAACACTTCATGGAGTAACTATGGGGTTTGCTTGACTTGCAGAACTATTTGTTGGATCGGTAAGAAAGAATCACAAGACAGAAATGGGCAGATGGCATGGAAGATCTAATAGGTAAGTGGTTCTGACCCTTATGCATTAACATAGCATACAGAGCTGCATGCTTCTTAGGGACTGCAAGGGAGTCCAACTCACTGCTGAGGGTGTCTCAGAATTGAGAGGAAGGCAGAATGGACCAGACCCAAAGATGGCCCTACAGGCGGCCAGATTCAAAGCGGGACAGGGGGGGGGCGGTGTTACTTGATTAAAAATGTGGTCTATATGGACCAAATAGACCGTTCCCTAGCTTGTCGTGCATTCTTTCCAAAAATCGGGACTTTTTAAAAACGCCCCAAAGCGGGACGTCTGGTCACCTTACCCTAAAGGGAATAACAGAATTTTCAGGCACAAAATGTTTGGTATTTGTCCATAATGGAGGTTAAAGTGGTGTGACCAGAAGAATTATGACAGATCTGAGATTAATGACTACTGGACAGTATCTTGACAATGGTGGGTTTTAGCATGGGCTCCTTAAAAAGGGTTATCTTGAAGATGAACTTTTACAAGATTTAGAGGAACTAAATAGTAACCAATGGATGACAAATGAAAGGCATGTAAAAATCCTTAAATAAAATTTATAAAATAAAAACTTTTCCAATGGAAAAAAAAGAGGGAGGCAGAAACTACACAGATCCTATGATGGTCCTGACATGACTAATTCGAAGAGCACTTAGCCAAGAAATGTTTGACATTTGTCCATAGTTAATTGGAGGTTAAAGCAGCATAACTAAAAGAATTATGAGAGATCTGAGATTAATGGCTGCTACTGGATAGTACTTTACATGGACAAAAATGGAGAAATAGCTTGAGTTCCTTTAAAAAGAGCTATGTTGAAGATCAACTTTTACAAGATTTGGAGGAACTAAAGTGACTTTGATGGACAGCAAATGAGAGACATGTAAAATTCCTTAAAAAATGTATTAACATTAAATAAGATTTGTCAAGACTTTTTACAAGGTAGAATATGAAAAAAGAAAAGATGTAATAAATGTTCTCTTTAAATTATAGTTGAGATAGTGGGCAGGTCGCAGCTTGATTAGAGGATGACCTAAATAAAGAAGACTGCCAGCATCCCATCTCCCTCTTGTTCCCTGGTGCTCAAACCAGCATGCTGCTGCTTTAGTTAGTTCTCTGCCTCAACCTGTGTGCTACATTACCTGTGGACCAAGCCAACCCATGAATCATGTAGGTAGAGATTGAGGCCCCTTTGAGATCTGCTGCACCACGCTGCTGGTGAGTACATTGCTTGAGCTTGAGGCTGGTGGATCCTATCGCTGTACTTGAGATCCAGATTCCATCAGGACCTGACTCGCTAAGCTCTCAAACTACTGACTCTTGCTGACCCACCCTGCTGTCTGCTGCCTGCGGGTAGACTCTGCCTGTCTTGCCTAACGGAAGACTCAAGTGTGCACCAGGAGGCAGACAAATTGGAATGCTAATATACTGCTGGCGGGAATGAAAAATTACACAGTCATTTTGGAAAGCATTCTGGCAGTCTCAAAAGATGAAACACAATATGAATCAGCAGTTCTGCTCCCAGGTATACTCTTATAACCCACGGATATTGAAGGCATATTGATGGGGACTTGAAGAGTCAACCCCTAGGAGTCTATGACGGAACCTCTTTAGAAGAAGCATAGTTAAGAGAAGGATATAATTTGTAGGGACATAACTAGAAATCTTCCATAGCTGTGCCCCTAAGTTGAACCCCTCTCACTTATTTCACCGAGTTTCCTGTGGTTGGGTCCAGGCACAAATTCTCAAGAATACTAGCTAAAGTGAAAGACTCAATTATTATCTAAATCTTCCCCAGATTTTCTTCTCCCGACTCATTAAGAGCCAGTACCTGCATACCAAGCCTGTCTCCTCAAGATTTACAGTCCCTCGTAATGGAAGCTCTGTAACGTACAATCTTGTCCAAGCAAAGCTGTTTTCCAGGTTGCCCCCATCGTTCCAAGATTTGTGTCTGTTTGACAAAGATTTATGCCTGTGCATACATCCTGTGAGAACAAGGAGATACAAATGTTTATAGCAGCATGTTCATAAAACACCCTCGAAGTAAGAAGGAGTCAAAGGACCACCAACTGATAAGGGAATAAACAAATACAGCATAACTGGACAATGGAATATGACTGACCGAAAAAAGAAATATGATCCATACCGCAACATGGATAACCCTCCTAACATTAAGTTAAGCAAAAGAAGCCAGGCACAACAGACCACAGATCATGGGATTTCACTTCTGGGACATGTCTAGAGTAAGGAACTCTGAAAAGACATGACAGAGAGGAGGGGTTGCCGGGGATGGGAAGGCTGAGGAAAACTGGAGACTGACTGTTAATGGGACGTGTGTGTGTGTGTGTGTGTGTGTGTGTGTTGATGAAAATGTTTAGCCTTGATGATGGTGATCGTGCAGGAGCCCTGGTGGTGTAGTGGGTTATGCTTTGGGCTACTAACCACAAAGTCTGCAGTTCAAAGGCACCAGCTTCTCTGTGGAAGAGAGATGAGGCATTCTACTCCTATAAAAAGATACAGTTTCAGAAATGCACAAAGGTAGCTCTCTCCTGCCCTATAAATTCGCTGTCAGAATTTACTTGATAGCGGTGAGTTTGCTTTCGAACAGTGATAAGGTTACAGTTCTGTGGATATACCAGCAAACCACTGGACTGCATGCTTTCAAGGTGTGAATTGTACGGTCAGTGAATTCGACCTTGACATAAGAAGTATTCATTCCATTACAAATTGAAACCCCAAACAGAAATAATTCCAGGGCTCTCCGTGGGATGTGACCGGAGGAACAAGAAAGGGATCTCAAATCAGAATTCTTGGACTCACTGATTCACCTCGCTGGAAATGAGTGTTCAATCATCCAGTGGATAAAAGAAATTTTATAATAACTCTATTCACACAGTAAGGATCGTTGCAAAGATGGCTCTGCACAAAACCAAATAGAGCCTAGTTAATAACTTTTATATTGGAGTTAAAAATGGATTGGAGTATTCAAAATGTAATACAGCGTTTCTCAACCGGTGGGTCGCCCCCTATTTGGGGGTCGAAAGGGTACTCCTTTCACAGGGGTCGCCAAAAGACTATCGGAAAGCATCTATGTCTGATGGTTTTGGGAACTGAGACACCGCTCTTCTATCCATGTCCAGGTGGGTAGGCCCACGTGCAGGTACGCCCACATATGAGTACCCGACGTGAAGACTGTTATGCACGCCGCACCATGCTTCAAGACAAAATTTCATTGATTTGTCATTAGACATAAATATTTCACAATATATAATTACATATTGTTTTTGTGTATCACTATGCTTTAATTATGCTCAATTTGTAACAATGAAAATACACTCTGCCTATCAGATAATTACATGAAGATTCATCACAGTAGAAAAATGACAGTGATGAAGCAGCAACGAAAATAATGTTATGGTTGGGGGTCATCACAGCATGAGAAACTGTATGAAAGGGTGAGAACCACTGATGTAACAGGAGACACAAACTTAAAATACACACAAACACTAAGCCACAAGGGCTACTCAATCATTCCGGATTTAACTGCAGCACAGACCCAAACACACAGCCATGAGTGGATTCAGACTGACCCGACATAGGGTTTCAGAGGCTGGAAATCGCGCTCCCCGCTTTGCAGTTAGCAGTGGAAATCTCACAGCTTTACAACCGCTCCTTCTGTCACCTTACTAGCTCCTTCCTACCTGCTTCAAGGCGCAGGTGGCGTGCCTTGCCCCTTGCAGGCAGCAGATGGAGCCATTGAGACAAGAATGGCATCGACACAGGGACTCAAACGTCTGAGTTAAATTCCAAGCCCAGCCGCCACCACTTAGCTTGTGACGAAAGCTAAGATGTGCAGAAAAGAATTAACATTCAGGACCAGTGGTCAGTGGCGATACTGGGAATGTAGAGGGAGGGTGGGTTGGAAAGGGGGAACCGATTACAAGGATCTACATGTGACCTCCTCCCTGGAGGGCAGACAACAGAAAAGTGGGTGAAGGGAGACGTCAGACAGGGCAAGATATGACAAAATAATAATTTATAAATTATCAAGGGCTTATGAGGGGGGAGCGGGGAGGAAGGGGGGGAAATGAGCTGATGCCAGGGGCTCAAGTGAAGAGCAAATGGTTTGAGAATGATGAGGGCAATGAATGTACAAATGCGCTCTCCACAATTGATGTGTGTATGGATTGTGATAAGAGTTGTATGAACCCCTAAGAAAACGATTTAAAAAAAAAAAAAGAATTAACATAGCTACTGTAAGAGGAGAAAAAGCATCTACTGGTCATGCTGCTGTGTTTGAGTTGGGGAAGAATTAGACTGTACAATTTAATGGACAGAATTGTTGTTGTTTGTTTTCTTTTAAATAAACAACTCTATCATTCGCTCCTTTATGAACTAAATTTCATCTGACTACAGGTACACTCTCACCCAAAAACTCAAACTCCCTGCCCTCTAGTCAACCCTGACTCATGGCAACCCTACAGAACAGGGTAGAACTGTCGGTGTGGATTTATGAGACTGGGCTTCTAGGGGGCAGAAAGCCTCTATCTCCCGCAGAATGACTGGGGGCTTCAAACAGCAGACCTCACAGTTTAACCACTCCCCCCGTGGGGCTCCTACAGCGACCCTGGCAGTCTCTTCATACCCAAGTCCTTTTCAAGTATCTGTAATTTGTGGGTCTGAGTACTTCTCACATTTAAGATAGAATGATAACTGAATAAATTAGTTTTGCTTATATAATTGAAAATACAGTGGAATACCATATCTAACAAGCTAGAACTGATGTAGTTTGTCCAGTGGAATTTTCTGTATCAGCACCCCAAATGATCACATGAGCAGACCAAGAAACCAAGACACAAAGAACAGGGAAAAAACCATTTTGTTTATTGGGCTATATTATCAATGCATCTTGATTACATATTTGGTAAATTTCATACTGCAGAGTAGTAAGTACAGTAAATTCAGACTCTT